GAAGAAAGTATGAGACACCAACGTGCACTTACTGTATCTGACCATGCAAACAACATGGCTGACGGTTTTCAGAAGACTTATCAAAACTATTGTACAGTTTCTTTATATAGCAAATGGCAAGTGTGGTTTCTGTCACAAGCACTGTTTCGTTCAGGGCTATAAGAGCTACATTTAGTTCTACAGGATATCATTCCAAGTATCAAAAGAAGTAGATTTAAAATAATTTTATTAAATAAAACACACAAAACATGATAGGTCACTTTAATTGCATACTTATTGGTCAAGTGAAACTTTGACATGATTTTTCTATTGCAGCTTGGTATTGAGCATCTTCATCAAGATAAACATTCTGGAAGAGAGAAGAAAACACTTTACTGACACAGAACAGCACCTTCACATGTATGGAGGTATAATATGTTGGCTATACTCTACCATAAAGTCTTCATAGCTGAACCGATGCCTGGCATTGAGATGAGCAACAATATTTTCAGTTACTGGAGCTGAATTCGCCCATGGTACAGAGCAACATATTGGGCACACCTATATGAGGAATGTTAGATTTAGATATCTTAGTCCTATACAAACATGATTTAGCTGTAACAGAATGTTCTTTCTTTTCTAGTGCCTACAGCCCAACTGCAGGCCTTTTTTTTTCTAGTTGATGTCATATTTTAGAATTACAGTCTGGGTTCCCACCAGGACATTTCACTTACTGCCCAGGTGACAGGCGTTTGTCAGGTTTTTAATTTCCATCTGTGTGCCTGTTGCTCTGTGTTCCATTCAAGATTTTGACTTTTTTCCCATTCAATAGGTCATGTTTTCACCAGTGAGAGGTGAACAATCAGCCTATCATTAAGAGTCATTCCAATGATGGGGCCCACTAAGACACTTAGCTGCCAAGCTATGCATCAAAAGTGTAGCATGTTGTTTCCTTTCCTCTTGTTCATACAAGAGGTGAGAACTGGGCTCTGCTTGCAAAGAGATTTTGTCAACAGGTCAGAAAATGTCTCTGTGCAATGATAAGTGCCTATGATCATCAGATATTTTAGCCATTAAGACCTAGAAGGTTAGAACTGGTCCTAATAGTACAAATAATTGATGCTCAAAACTGGAAGTATCAGTTAGCAAGGCCATTCATGAATTACTCATGTCATTCGTGAAAAATCCAGAAAAGTATTACCTTTTAGAGGAACTGAACTGTCATGATACAAATAAACAAGGTTTCATACAAATAAACAAATTGTCCAAAATGTCTTGGTATGCTGATGTCTTAAGAGTTCCCTTCACTGTTACTAAAGGGCCAAGTCCAACCCCTCAAAAACAACCCCACACCATAATCCCCCTCCACCAAACTTTACACTTGGCACAATGCACTCAGGCAAGTACCGTTCTCCTGGCAACCGCTAATCCCAGACACGTCCATCGGATTGTCAGACAGAGAAGCGTGATTTGTCACTCCAGAGAACACGTCTCCACTTCTCTAGAGTCCAGTGGTGGCAAACTTGGTATTATACTTAATGATACCTGTACTAAGAAAACATGGAGCCTGCCATTGTTGATATTGAATTACTTTATAGTTTGAGGCTTTCCCTGGTTATCCTGCCAGTAACACTTCCTGTCCTAGGGTGCAATGCTCACTCACTGTAAATTTCTGCATGTGACCCCTATTGCTTTATTTTCCTATCACTTCCTGTCCCTGTGACACATACAAAAGATGTTCTAACGCTTCTTCACGCCACTTTTTTTTTTTTCGTGTGTCCTAACTGGAGAAGTTTCCCCATCAATATTTATGCCGCTAGGAAGTCACAATTCTCCATAATAGAGACACAGAGGCTTTAATCCTTCCACACTCTATCCAAAAGCGTGAAAGGCAGCCCTTTAAAGTAGGACTGGTAATGATTAAAATTTTCGTGTTTGATTAAGCGAATTTTCTTTTTAAACAATTAATTTCGATTATAACGCACATACAGATCCAACTACATTGGCCTATACAGATACAGCACAGCAATGAACTAATACAATGAACTAGGATCACACTAATCCACCACGTTATTAATCTCACGTGCCCCACTCAATACGGCCGCCGCTTGAGTGGGGCAACTCAGAATGATAACGTGCTGGATTAGTGTGATCCTAGTTCATTGTATTACTTCATTGCTGTGCTGTATGTGTATAGGCCAATGCCTTGGCTGGCGCTCGAGCAGAAAGTTTCTTGGTCAAACTCACCGGCCCAAGTAGCTCCGTTGGCTAACGAAGGGGGGAGGAGTCCGGTGACGTCACGAACATCGACGTTGCCAGACTCCTCCCCCTTCCCTTTGTTAGCCGTCTACGGACATCGGCGTCATCGGACTACTCTTCCCTTCGTTAGTCGACGGAGCCACTTGGGCAAGGGGGGAGGAGTCCAATGACGTTGATGTCCGTGACGTCACCGTATCGTCGACGGGACTCCCGGAAGACAGGGGAGAGATGAGTGTTTTCATTAGCGATCAAAATAATTTAAAAAAATCGATCAAAAAGTCTAACGATTAATCTTTAATTTCCACAGCCCTACTTTAAAGTAACTTCATAATGAGCACAAACTCCATTGTATTCAATCTTCAATTTTTTGCCGTGCTCCACTCAGGTGAGGGAATCTTCATAAAACGGTGTCTCCCAAGTACATGTTGTGGCTCTCCACCTTCACACTACCTACATCACTAGCGTGTCAAGCACCCCACCGGTAAAATGTACACGTTTTATGTTTGAGCACAGACATTCTTTCAGTTTTATTGCAAAGAGCAGGTCAGTGACCAGACCCAAGCCTGTAGCTTTCTTCCAACAGTGTAATTGTATCCTATATGTCTACTAAAATATGCTATATGCAGATAAATATTTTGTCATTTTGCAAAATACAGTAGGGATTAGCCACAGAGGGATCACTTAGCATGAACAGAATTGCAACATATGGGGACCAAGAATCTCAGTTTTAATGCAAAGGTTTGCTGAAGTATGCAAGGGTCTATAGCAATGTTCAGAGTGTTATTTGAGAATTTTGTGTAGTATTTAAACAGACACATTAGTGGCCAGTGGGTGGAACCACAGCGTGTAACAGAAAGATGCAGACAAAGGCACCCCATACACCCCAAGTGTTGGATGCTGAAGAATGTCGGTGGATTCACACTATTGTGGTCGATTAACAGCATTGCGTTAAGGCAGCCCATTCAAAACCAACACACCAAAAAATGCATGTAACCACTTTTGGGAACACATTGTACCAGAACACATGGCATGCGCATTGTGGTATGCTGCATATCTGTGTTGTGTGTCGGGGTGCCATTTGCAATAAATGACACTGCAATGCACTGTAGTAGGTACAAGTGTAAATGGGCCATCTACCAATGCATCTAGCTCTGATAGAGAATGAAGAACGGATTCACTGGTAAGCAATATTAATGTGCTTTTACAGACTACTTTAAAAAAATGTTTTTAGCAACAGTCACTTTAAAGACAGAATACTCTATTCTGTATATCTACTATTTGGTGTAACTACTTTACATATGTTAAAACTAACGACTGGATATTTAAGACTAGAGAAATATCTATGGGGTGCTGAAGAATTTGATTTTGCTCTATCTATTGTGCCTCAAAGAGAAAACTATGATGTTGCATGATGACTCCTACATTGAGATTTTCCATCAGGTAAAAAAATAAAATAAAATAAAAAGTTACCATACTCCTAGCTGGTGTCTGTTGGAAATGCTTTTAGTTGTCTACAGCAGCGGTCCCCAACCTTTTTGGCAGGATGGGGGTGGACGTTAGTTGTCTAGACTATGGTTTCGGGATGATTCAAGAGCAGGACATCAAATCTCAGCAATACATTATATAGCAATGCAGAATACCACCTTCTATAGAGGAGTACAAATCCCAGCAATACATTATACAGTGATGCAGAATACCACCAGCTAGCAGTAGGGGTGCAGAGGGTCTCAGGAGGTGTGTGAAAGGTCTCAGGAGGCGTGCAGAAGGTTACGGTAGGGGAGCACAAAGTCTCAGAGAGGGGTGCAGAGGGTTTTTTCACAAAAAGCTTGGCTTTTATTCTTAGCAATAAAGGCCATCTCTGACAGGAAATTATCCACCTGATTGGCCTTTAACCGCTTGCCGTCCGCCCGTTGTGAAAAAAACAGATTGACTGCAGACTCACAGGTGGGTTGCCGTCATTAGACTGCATTTTTTTCCTGTTCGCGCACGGGCAGAAAAACCCGCCGTTCTTTACAGCTGTTACTGGCTGTTTCACATATAACCGATCAGCGGCCGCCGATCGGTTGTATGTTGTGATTTGCCGCCCCCCTCTCTGCCCCGTCGAGTGCCGCAGCCTATTTTGCCCCCCCTCCTGACCCCTCACCTTCAATCCCGTGATCCGCTAGCCCATCTGCTGCCCGGGAGGGAGATCAGCATCTTCCTCCTTGCGGATCTTCCTCCGTGCTGTGAATGCGGAAGTGATGTAGAATACATCACTTCCGCATTCACCTGTCAGTCATCTGGCTGCTATAGCCAGGGAGAAGAAGCTGATGAAGCAGATCGGTGCTTAATCAGCTTCTCTTGGGGTCCCCAGGTGACCAGTGGCGTAACCAGAGTTATGGGCGCCCGGGGCAGAACATTTTTTTTCGCATTTATTTTATGTTCCCGGAGACATTTAAAAATGTCCCCCAATTTTATTTTTAAAAAATGTGTCACCTTACCTTAGCCTGGTGGTCAGTGGGTGCTTCCTGGACCCTGGTTGTGGGGGGGCTTCCTGGACCCTGGTTGTGGGGGGGGTCTGCCGTGGACCCTGGTTGTGGGGGAAAAAAGTTTAAAAAAAAGACCAAATTTTTAAGTTCCCACCCCCACGTTTACACACATATAAAACATAACTATGCGTCAGATGCGCCAGTGCACGAAAACGACAATTGCGCGCAAACGTCAGAGCAATAATTTTAGGGCCATCAATCACTGATAACACTAAACTGATGAGCGGTAAAAGCTTTTACCGCTATGGCCAATTTTGGATATTGTAGTTTTTTGAGGTTTCACGCGCGCAATTTTAATGCTTAACATGTTTGGTGTCTTTTTACACAACGTGACCTCGCCTTTTATATTTTACCAAAAAATTGGGTAATAATGAAAATACTGAAAAATGGCCTGGACAGGAAGGGGGTTTTACACCGCGGACTTCAAGTGATTAAAGGACTGGAGAGATGACGATCTGAACTGGAGAGGTCATTAGTGGACCGCCATGTGATTACCCTGTAGCTGGCCTGTCTCTTTTTTGCACTTGGTTACCAGCTTCCATTGTAACTTCTCAGTGTCCTAATGCCTGTAGAAACAGCCCTATTGCTTATACTTACAAGTTCTAGCAGTCTGCTCTTGGCTGTCTTCCAGGCTTCCTCACAAGTGCGTCTCCCCGTCTCCTTTCCCTCAGCTCGGCCCCCACTTTGACGGCTGTGATGTCAAGAGCCGCAGATGTCACTCTGCTGCTGCACTGTGGATCGGCGGAATGATCTTATTCTGACAGAGGCAGCTGTGGCCCCGTTGCTGACAGGCCACGGACCAGTCCGCGGCCTGGGGGTTGGGACCCCTGGTCTACAGCACAAACTCCTTGGTTGAGACCAGGGCTCCCAGGCCACCCTGGACCCCTTGAGTACTGGCCATACCGCCCTGATGGCAGCCCTGGGTATGGCAGTCACAGAGAATAATGATTGCCCTGGGTACATTCATTAACGTTAGGACATTGAAAGACGACATCCTCTGTGGTTGGTTCAAACATTTTTACTGGTTACAGATATTCTTATTTATGTCATGTTAAGAGGAGGAGTCCCTTGAATATGTGAATGATTAATAAAGTATTTTTAGCATTAACTTTTTTTACGTTTTAGATAAAGAGTTGAGAAGTGTCGAAACACGTCACTTTTTTTGCTGTTCATGTCCCTGCTGTGACGATTCCCTTTCTCTATTTCTCCTAGCAATCACAAGTTCTGGTAATCAATGTCTGTCAGAAAGTAAAAAATATTATTAGGAGGGGATTTTTTCAATGGGGACCCCTCTCATGGTGACAAATGTCTAACAGAGGAATTCCCTTTACTTTGTCAAAAGTACTTCTTGTTCTTCAGCACCAAATCTTTCATGCAACCTCTAAATAAAGGAACAGTAGTGATGAATAAAAAGCATAGTGGGTTTAACCAATCTTTTTGGCATATTAATTCTCTATAGTCCATGTAATTGGGGTGGGGTGCAAGATGGCAAGGGTGTATCCTTTACCTACCTACTTTTTGGAAGAAAAATAAATAAATAATGGGTTCTCGTTCCCATCTCAGAAAGTTCCAAGTTATATGCTTTGTAGAACGCAAAAACACTACACATACAGTTTAACGCCATGGGTACAATATAAAAATGTTGGTCTATGAAAAAGAATATTAAGTCATGGTAGCTCAGGAACCAGACTTGCTGTAGCTTGCTTGATACATAAAATAAAAAACAATTACCGCTTGTGCATCTTCAAAATAATGCAAAAATATGCAGTGATCAAGCAAAGCTTGTCTATTTAGGTCCTGCTGCAGACACAGAGGGCATGTGTAGGTTTTGTCCAGCCTAAAATAGAGGAAATAAAGTATTAAATAACAGAGTAGCAATGACATGATGACAGGCATGAGCACTACAAAACTAATCTAGACAGTTAGGTTCATTGTCTCTTATAGGTAGGTTTTCTTGTGCAGCAAAAGGACTTTCTGGTCAGATCATGAGAACCAATTTGCAAAAGTTGCCCATTAAAAATGCTGCTGGCCAGTTTTACATTCATACTTCCATCTGTGGTCTCAATGTCTAATGAGTGCTTTGTAGAAATTGGCCAGCAACAGGACGGTTTTGCATCAGCAAAAACCACAGCAAACTACTGGCCAGTTTCTAGCAGCAAACTATTCCACAGCCAAATATTTGCTGCCAGTGTATGCTGCACCAAGACTGTCTGTATTTTTAATGTTGACTTTGAAGCTGCATTAAAAGACCCTCTCTCTCCACTGTACAGATTTTTTTTCCACTGGTATATATCCCCACGGCAGTGCTTAGCTTTCCATTACCGGCTTTGCCAAACAGGTGTAAAATTGGTACAGGCATGAGGATTCAGATATCATTTGTTAATTTATACAGTCACCAGAAGATGGTAGCAATAAATACAGATTTTATACATGCCTTTCTTCAAGCAAAGACATGCAAATATATGCCTTCATATCTTTTTTTTGACAAAAGGTTAGTCCTAAAAATGGTGGTTTTTAACAAAAAAATAAAATAAAATAAATTTTCACTGAATTTGAAACATTTTGTGGACCCTTGGCAGATTTGTCCATCACTAATACTAAATACAAACCGCAAATAACAGGGTAAAGGGTCAACTTCACTTAGCAATAGTTGTTATTTCAAACAAAACAGGAAGTCTGCACCTGAAGCTGTAATATCCAAGAATATACAGGTGAAACTCGATTAGAATATCGTGCAAAGTTCATTTATTTCACTAATGCAACTTAAAAGGTGAAACTAATATATGAGATAGACTCATTACATGCAAAGCAAGATAATTCAAGCCGTGATTTGTCATCATTGTGATGATTATGGCTTACAGCTCATGAAAACCCCAAGAACCCCAAATCCACAACCTCAAAAAAGTAGATTACTACATGCAATCAATAAAACAAGGATTGTACATAGAACAATATCGGACCTCTGAAAAGTACAAGCATGCATATGTACTCAGTACTTGGTTTGGGCCCCTTTTGCAGCACTTACTGCAATTACTTTTGCACGATATTCTAATCGAGTTTCACCTGTATAATATGCATATTTAATAACTAGCAACCTAATCACAATGAGGAATACACAATACATGGATTCAAAGCCTGTATTTCAGTAAGAAGACAAACAGATCATCTTCACTTGATAATTATCTCATAGCTCAGTTGATTAACATTTTTTTTTTACTTATATCTGAATATCTATTAAACTCTGGTTGAGATGGGTTAATACACTTCGCACCCAGTCATTGCTCTGTGCATTATTTCATCAAATAACCTCACTAGTATCTTTACCCAAATTTACTGAAACTCTCTTTTCCTTCATTGAGCCAAGATTAGATATCTTTCAACAACTGTCATTCTTAGGGTTGCTACCTGTCTAGGATTCACCAGGACAGTCCGGGTTTTGAGGTCTGTAGGTGCGGGGTCAGTGTTTCAGGCCATCTGAAACCCAGATACAAGATGTCACAATGTCAGGTGAACAGAGGCAACCACGGGGTCCTGGTGTACCTGCTCACATGTAGCCGCGCTTTATGCTCCGTACGGGTGTAGACCTCCGCTGTGACTGGGCTCTGACAGTTCGCACAACATTTCCAATCTCACCCTCTCCAATCTACTGGATGTGCAATGCTAAATTTATACACCCAGAGGCATTGTGTGGTGTGTGTGTGTGTGTAAGGGGAAGGGAGTTCAGGAGGAACCAATGGGAGTGTTTTTCTCATATCACCCTTAAATACTTGAAGACCAGGTGGGTGAAGACCACCCTTCCTGGCCAGGCCATTTTTCAGTATTCAGCCCTGCAGTAAAGTTTTAAAATTGCGCGCACCCCGCGAAATTGCAAACAACTACCATACCCAAAATTGACCAGAGGCGACGCTTTAAAAGCTTTTACCGCTCATCAGTTTACAGTGATTGATGCCCCTAAAATTATTGCTCTCATTTCTATGTTCGCAACAATAGGTAACGTGCGGCGTAATGGGCGCAATCGTCATTTTCGCATGTATGCGCACCCGACGCATGTTTGCATGCGTGTATGTATGGGGTACTTTTTTCATTCTTTAACTTTTGGGGGAGAAACTTTAATATTTTTTTTCACTTAACTTTATTGCTATGACATAGGGGGTGAAGAAACCCCTCTATGTGATAGCAAAAGATGTGACAGGTCCTCTTTATGGAGACATCAGGGGTCTCCAAGACCCCTAATGTCACCTAGGACCCCCTGAAGAAGCTGATGAAGCAGAGATCTGTTTCATCAGCTTCTCTCCAGCATCTGAAGCTGGAGAGTGACACAAGAATGCGGAAGTGATGTAATATACATCACGTCCGCATTCTGACACCAGAGAGGGGACCGGATGGAGTTAGTGTACCGATCTCCCTCTGATCCCCTGTCATAGAGGCACCAGCGTGACAGCGGGAGGGGGTGAGACATACCGGGACCTTGTACAAGCGATGCCGGGCGGATCGCTTGTATGTTAACAGGCATCGCTGCCTGTTTTACATTTTTTTTTTTTTTTTAG